AACCTCAAGAAATGAACATGCAGCCTTCCAATTTTCACATCCGTACGTCACCGCTTCACAGGGGAACGTCCTTAAACAATGCTCCACACAGCGAAGAAGGCTGCGCTTGGATGTGGTATTGTCAATGATCTGGAAGCCTGTCCTGTCTGAGAGTTGATGTCCTTCCCAAGAAGTCTGTAAAATCCTTGAAGCTTTGCCATGTTTGAGAAGGAGCAGCACAATCGCCATTCGCCAACATCTTCTGTCGGTCATTTTGTCATCCGGGAATGAATTGAAATAATATCGGCAACCTTACTCCCCAAAATCATACAAATGTGATGGGAGCTGTAATATCCCAAGTGTTCTTTTCAAACTTATGATAGAATTTCGTCACAACAGAAGGTGAAATTGTAAATGTCGACATTTGATCACATTAATTCAAATGGTCGGAAAAGGTATGTTGTATCGTTTGGTCTTTTTGGTATACGTATTTAAATAATTAAATAGATCGGTATACATTAGGAAGTATTTCTCTAGTGGAATTTAAGGTAAGCGTTTACTGTTTTATATACACAGTACGGTAAGGTTTCAAATGTTGTTTACGTCACCATGGAAACAGAAACATAATAGGGTATGATACACAGATCACTAATGTAGCTGGTCGTTGTCTCCGGTAGAAGCTAACGTCACTACAATATCAATTCCGGGATGAATAAAACATGTTATCGTTTCCATTACATTTCAGTAAGAAAGATATTTACACCCTCAACATAAACACGATCGCCATGCCCACTGTAAAGTGCATGTTTGTTGAAGTTGAAGCCAGTCAACAGTGGTTTGGTTGTTGTTTAACGCCGCACTCAGCAATATTCCACCTATATGGCGGCGATCTGTACATAATCAAGTCTGGACCAGACAATCCACTGTTCATCAGTATGAGCATTGATGCGATGACGTGTGCCCGACTACCAGATCCCGTTAGTCGCCTCTTGCTGAAGACCAATTCTAACCCGGAGGAATAAGTCGTTGTTTTCTTAACGTTTTAACCCAGATTATCTTGTGCAACTATTGAGGATATTTCCACGGTTAAATTGCCTTTAAACATTACATAACTTTATAACACCGCTTCTCTCTAAAACTGAATAATTTTGAACTCAAAAGAATGAATTCATAATTACATGGACTATATATACTATGGGAAACTGTACTGTGCATGGGTCTTCAAGACTTCAAAAGATAGATAGTGCCTGTGGATGACAGATCCTAACATTTTAATGGTTAATATATAACATTTCTGTACATTCTTGCAGGTAATTTGAGGCTCGGAGATAGGACAGATATATACTGAACATCATTGAAAACGCACCACCTGTAAATTTTGAAATATGGTAATAAGATTGTTTTGAGCGTGAAAATGAACAACGTTGGAAATGTTGTTAATAACACGAAAGACAATAAATAATGCTGTAGATTAAAAAAGAACGTATTGCCCGAACACATCATGGAACACATCACATGACAACAACAAAATTTATGCACAACACACACGAATTGCATGCGTAAAACATGCTGATTAGGGGTATAAATGACGGGCGGCAAAAACCCGTTCTCATTTTAGCGGTACCTCCGCAAGTAAAGTTTATTTTGCAATGCCAAGATTGTCACCAGAGGAACGAGAACGGGCGTTGGGCATGTTGTACCAACAAACAGGAACCACCAGGGACCGCCAACGTCCTGGCTAGGCACGTACCGCCAACGTCCTGGCTAGGCACGTGTTACCACCCCTCGCCAAGATCGAGACATTGTTCGGCGCCATGTTCGGGATCGTACGTTGCCAGCTGCCAGAACCGCCAACGCTGTCCAAGGCCGACGTGGTTTGATCAGTGCTTCCACCGTCCGACGCAGTCTTTGTGCGGCAGGATTACGGTGTCGACGCCCTTATGTTGGACCCATCCTGACCGATAGACATCGCCGTGAACGCCGACGATGGGCTGAACAGCATCGTTTGTGGTGTTTACGACGTTGGCATGGTGTTGTGTTCTCCGATGAGTCACGTTTTCACTTGCGAAGTGCTGACGGGCGTCTACGGGTATACGGCGTCGACGGGGAGAACGTTACCATCAGGACTGTGTTGTGCAAACAGATCGGTGGGGTTGAGGCAGCATTATTGTGTGGGGAGGGATCAGTTATCACCACAAAACCGCTCTGGTAGTTTGTCGTGGCAGAGTGAATGCCCTTTACTACCATGACACCATATTTCAGAACTACGTCGTTCCCTTCTTTAACCAACATCAAGATCTGCACACATTCCAGCAGGACAATGCTCGAGCGCACACTGCACGTGTTGCAACACAGTTTCTGGCAAACAACAACATTCCTCTACTTCCATGGCCTGCATTGTCACCAGATTTGTCTCCCATTGAACACTTGTGGGATTACATCAGCCAACGCCTCTCACGTCGCCCACAGATCGACAACCTTGGGCAACTTGAGAATGCCTTGCAACAAGAGTGGAGTGCATTGCCTCAAAACATTATACAGAGACTTATCAGTCCGATGAGGAGACGTTGCACAGCTTGCGTTGCTGTTAACGGTGGTCATACACGTTACTGACTTTCCAATTTGACTCCATCTTTCTTTCATGGTCAGCTGAATTAAAACTTCACTGTTTTGCTGGATTGGTTCTGTTTTTTGTTCTTTACCAATCATTGGACTACAAAAGTATGTAACATTTACACCGATTGCTCATTTATGCTCTTGGAAATCCAAACTAATACAGGTGGTGCGTTTTCAATGATGTTCAGTATATAAGCAGGAAAACCAAGTTCTATGGATAGTCAACTTCTTTATTGCAATGAGTGCGACGTGTCGGTGTAGGTACTAACACCGTTATCAAGCAAGCAAATGCCTCTCAAAGAAAGTATATAAGCAGTTGTTGACAAATATGACGTGATAAAGAGGCTTGACTATTTAATGGAACAAACAATATCAGTAAACATTTTCAACTCGGCTTTTTGAATTTCAACGTGATTTTTGAATCGTTGAATATAGTTGAATGAATGACTGGTGTCGAAGATAGCTATCAATATTCAAGGAAACCCGCGACCCGTGAAGATCCGGGTTAGAACTGGTCTTCAGTAACCCAAGCTTGCCGGGATCGGGTGGTTAGGCTCGCTCATTAGGTAGACACATGACGTCGTATCCCAATTGTGTAGATCTATACTCATGCTGTTGATCACTGGATTGTCTGGTCCAGACTCAATTATTTACAGACAGCCGCTGGGAATACTGCAACGTAAAACTCAACTCACTCAATCTCTAGAAACCCGTAAAGTTGGAAGAGCAGAGGTGATCCATTTGTCAAAAAGACGCCGTGACGAGTTTCAGCCTCTAGCTGTGCGTGGAACTATCCGATAAAAAAGTTGTTTTATTATCCTTGGTTTGCGAGCACAGTATCTGTTTTCACCCGCCTCACAAAGTCCTGTACCTCGTGAAGCTGATATATGTCGCGTTGGGGAGGTGGGCTGGCCTAGTGGTTAAAGCGTTGGCTCGTCACACCGAAGACCGGATTCGATTCCCCACATAGGTACAAGGTGTGAAGCCCATTTCTGGTGTCCCCCGCCGTGATGTTGATGGAATATTGCTAAAAGCGGCGTAAAACTAAATTAACTCACTCACTGATGCGTCGTGTTACAACTGAAACCATGGCGTCAAACCACTCACACATATAAACCAGGCAAATGAAAGTATACAAATACAAATGTATTTGACAAATAATTAAAAAACGTTATCAAAACTTTACTTCTTTGAAAACAGTGGCCGAAACACTGCAATTTATACCCCTTTCAAATACATCATCATGGAATAACCATTTCTTGTTATATAGTAGCCATTATCATTATGGGTATATGAATATACTTTCTTTTGCTCGACACTTTAGTTCACTGACTCACAGGCATCGCCCCCATGTATACGCCCTACTAGAAATTTATTCTGTCTTTTTATCTACCGGCAAAAATAACTTGTATTTCATGCTCATTTTCCCGTAACTTACATAAAAATGTTTGTTTGTTTGTTTGCTTGAACATATTTTATTCAGTGTTGAAATGGATTGGGCACAAGTTATGTAACTTATTACCGCCCGCTCCCATCAGAAACAAGAACAATAATGAACAATAATGATTGGACGTAATGGATGGACATAATAATATTGAGCCATATTATTGGTTAATTGAAGCGCCTACTTCGTACAATGTATTTATGCACATGTCTAAAGATATTTTCATTGATAGTATTTGGCAGAGCAGGGTTGCCGTAAAGAATGGTATCAATGTCTAACTGAACTTTTGATAGTTCAAAGTCTTTCTTCAGATCAAAACGGCAACTGACAAATTTTGGACATTTTAAGAAGAAATGGTTAGCATCTTCCACCGGAGCACCACAATTGCAAGCTCTACTCTCTGATAGATTAACACGAAACAAAAAAATGTCTTGGTAATAAATCCTAGCTGCATCGTTTGTCTTGAATATTTGATGTTCCATCGTGGCGTTGGTTTAGCCTTGTGCTTAAAGCGTTCGCTCTTCAATTCGAAGACCCGTGTTCGATTCCCCACATGGGTATAATGTGTGAAGCGGCGTGACGAACGAACGCTTTAACAACTAGGCTACCCAACCGCCCCCCTTCATCTGTATAGAAACGATCCCTTTTAAAAACATGGAATTGGTATCTATGCGCATGATGTATAAAGTTGTATATTTACCAAAAATATAAATTCATTTTCAGGCTTCAAGCAAAGGTCACGTATGGTTCTTATATTGGCGTGTTAACGTGCAGTGAGGCTCAGACAGTACATTCGTGATCACTAATCATATTAAACGATATTGGAGAGATACATTTCGTGAAGCGTGCATCCACCTTCATCATACCCAGAGCTGATTAACAATATCCTATTATTACTCATAACTAGTCCCGTTAATTAGACCTCGGGAAATATTCCAACACAGTCAGCGCCCATCCTCAGAAGAGACGAGAAGTCATCGTCAAAGAGCGCAAAACACGCCATTACAGTCATCAAGCTCATACTGACAAAGTAATAGAAGGCTACTGCACACCTTCGGAGCTCCATCAAACCAACATGGCTGCCAACGCACTGCTTGATACGAAAATTCGAGCTTGGTTCAAGATGACCGACGCCAAGAAGGACGGCTGTATGTGTAGGGAAGATTTTCAGCTTATCGCAGACAGATTCGTTGCAGAGTATAACCTCGGCCCGGAGAAGGCCACGGAGATCAGAAACTGGTTAGTGGACGGCTGGGACAAGATCCTCCATGACAACACTTGTGACATGAAGGCCTTAGAAGCAGATCTGCCATTGGTAGTAGCGGTGAACGCTAAACTGGGTGCTGGAGAGAAGATCACTGAAGATGAGTTCACGGAAGCCTTCATCCAACTCCGAAACAAAGACTTGTCCCTCGCGAAGAAGAGTCTAGAGAACATGATCGACGTGTTCTTCGACATTTTCGACGCCGACTCTGACGGCTTCATCATCATGCCAGAAATGGTGGTCGCCATGAAGTGCTTCGGTCTGGAGAGTTCGGAACTCGTCCAGAAGACTTTTGAGTGCATGGACAAAGATAAGGACGGGAAGCTGAGCAAGGATGACTACATTGGAAGTTGGACTGATTTCTTTTTCGGTGAGGAGAGTGAGAATCCACTTCTTACATGCTTCGCTGCGTTCATGAATCCAGGTGCTGCGTCATAGACACTGTTAGTCCAGACAATTTATGTGTTCATAAACAATTTTCATATTTTTCAGAACGTTTTTTTAAAATAAAACAAATATGATGAGGCTAATACGTATTAAATCATATATCTTTGAAAAGCCTTAAACAGAGCCTTTATTTGATATATAACATGACACAATTGAGTATATTACAAAAAAGTTTGCATTTCTATCTAAGATTTCGAAAGCGAAGATGCCCCATATGACCTTGAGGGTCGAATTTGACCTTGTTCCACCACTGAGTTTTTCCTAGAATTTTTAAATGTTGTAAAGGAATGGTTCAGGGTCTTAAAACAGTTGAAATCATTTCTGTAGCAATTTGTGGTGGGTTAGGTCAGAATTGTACCAGGATGACTGGACTATATGTGAATTGTTCGTGGACGGTTCTATCCCGAGAATGTTCATGTGCAGGACACGTGGACAGATACGGGATGGGGTATGTATCAGTATCTGTTTGTTAAGACAAGTACCGATAAAGGTATCACCAACCCATGTATTGTACTCAATGATTTGTAAGCGATGTAGTAAAATACAAATTATCGATATTCTTGTGTTTTTATTTAATATTACGGAGTGTTGTGCGGTATATGAATGTCTTCTTGTAGACGGCGGCGTGTGAATGGGTTGTGTTAAAATATAACGTGACTTTGACTGACTGACTGACTGAGTTTGGTTTTACGACGCTTTTAGCAATATTCCAGCAACATCGCGGCGGGGGACACCAGAAATGGGCTTCACACAATGTACCCATGTGGGGATTCGAACCCGGGTCTTTGGCGTGACGAGCCAACGTTTTAACCACTAGGCTACCCCACCGCCCCACGTGACTTTGAGCATTGTTTAGTTACATCTCGGGGGAATGTATTACAAGGTTAATTTGAATCGATGTTCAAAGTCGCACATTGCTTTGGTGAACCTCACCTGCACAGACATGGTTGCCATACCAAGGATCATTATGAGAAAGATTGGATTCGAACACGGTTACCGGATCCTCCTGGGGCTGAAAGGACAATGTTTCTCAATTTGTTCATATATTTGGTTTATTGCTACTTTACTTGGCGTCACTGTGTATACATATGTGTGCGCGTGCGTGCGTTTGTTTGTTCGATCAACATCGAATGATTTCATCCGAGACCACATCACGCACAGTTCAGGATTTCTCGGGGTCTCTGGAATGTCTACATTATTTACAGACCGCTGCCATATAGCTGGAATATTGTCGAGGGCAGCCTTAAACAACACACATATAACTATCTAAGAAATGAAAACTTCAACTAAAGGTAACCAGCGCTGGTACACTGAAACTTATTTCAAACTTCAGCTGCCACGGTGATACAGGGGTTCGAAAAGATCTCCAGTGTCCTATATCGTGAGAAGTATTCACAGAGGATAGCCAGGCATGGGTTGGTTGGTTTGTTGTTTAACGCCGCACTCAGCAATATTCCAGTTACATGGCGGCGCTTTGTAAATAATCGAGTCTGGGCCAGACAATCCAGTGATCAACAGTATGAGCATCGATCTACGCAATTGGGATATGATGACATGTGTCAACCAGGTCAGCGAGCCTGAGCACCCGATCCCGGATCTTCACGGCTAATGCCTAAAGGGCAGCCAGGCATGGGACTTTTGTTGTCGTTGTACCCCGGCAGTGTGGGTTGTGGGTCAGGATATCCATCACTGGGTTGTCTGGCCCAGACCATAGGCGGATCCAGGAATTTTCAAAGGGGGGAGGGGTGTGAGTTTCAGGGGGCTAACTTCAATGTGGTCTTTAGTCATTTTCAGGGGTTGTCGGGGGGATAGACAATGAACAGCATTACCCAAGCTTTTCAGCGACGGCCAATAAATAATCCAGTCCTGGTCAGGCAAACCAGCCAGCCAAGTCACTGGGCCTGTTCAATCCATCATTTTGGTCGTTTTGTACGTGCATGTCTTTTGACTGTAAGACAGAATTTCAGACTCATGAGGACGCCTCATGTGAGGGAAAGCCTGCGTGAGTATGGTTTTATGCCGCTTTTAGCAATATTTCAGCAATATCACGGCGAGGGATACCAGAAATGGGTTTCACACACTGTACCCATGTGGGGAATGGAACCTGGGTGTTCAGCGTGACGAGCGGACGCTTTAACCATGTGGCTACCACACCGCCCCGGGAAAGCCTGAAGTGAAGCGGCTCACCACTCGTGAAACCCATGGCCATGAGCATAGCCATGGTGCTGACAGTCTTAGAAACATTAAAAAGGCAAGTCTGGGATTCGAACTCACATTCACACTTTTTTGTGTAAAGGACGCAACGCTAAACAGCAAACTGGTTCATTGTGTATCAGACGACAGAGCCTCCAAGGTGTCCTACGTAATCCTGTATTACTGTTTCGGGAAGAAAGGAGTGAGTGAGTTCGGCCACTGTTTTCAAAGAAGTAAAGTTTTGATAACGTTTTTTAATCATTTGTCAAATACATTTGTAGTTGTATACTTTCATCTGCCTGGTTTATATGTGTGAGTGGTTTGACGCCATGGTTTCAGTTGTAACACGACGTATCAGTGAGTGAGTTAATTTAGTTTTACGCCGCTTTTAGCAATATTCCAGCAACATCACGGCGGGGGACACCAGAAATGGGCTTCACACATTGTACCCATGTGGGGAATCGAACCCGGGTCTTCGGCATGACGAGCGAACGTTTTAACCACTAGGCTACTCCACCGCCCTGGAAGAAAGGAAAGGTCATATTGCTTTAAGTAGGGATCAATATTGATGCACTTACATCAACGTGCATCAACTTGAGTCTGTGTTGCTGCTTGTACTAGTCCGTACTAACGGCGGTTAGCTCACAGACTGCCGCAGTTCAACTGCAGCCGAGCACTGCTTGTTTTTTAATGACGACACGGAGGTTAACAAGTGTACTGGACCATCTTCCCCTCTTTATACAGACGCTCTATCCTACCATTTCAGAAACTTTCAGTCTTTCACTGACACATCAGCTATAGAGTGGAAGATGGGTTTTTTGTAAGCAAACTTCTGTCAGTATAATAATCATCATCCTAGATCACAGAATCATCATGGTTACTTCAGATATAGTCAGTCAGTGTCTTTGTGATTATCAGCACTCTCAGCAATATTCCTGGGTGTCTGACAGAAGATTCTGGGCCAGACCAACCAGTGATAGATGATGTTAGCATGCTGCTAGGGCATGTCGACATGCTATCTCCCAACTAATCAAGCCTGGTCACTTATCCATTAAATTGCCTCCTAACTCATTGTTACAGGTAGTTACACAAACCCATTGAGCCCTTGAATTCTTTCATGTTCACTAGCCCAAACTAGCATCATCTCCTGTACATTTGAGCGTTATCACAAGGCATGTATTAGCTAATTCAGCATGACCACACAGTTTGTTGTTTAAGGCTGCACTCAGCAATAAACCAGCTACATTGAGGCAGTCTGTAAATGATCACGTCTGGACCAGACAATCCAGTGATCGACAGCCAGGGGTGGAAATAACTCTAAAATTGCTAGTGTACTCCTGTACAGTGGCACATGTAAAATCACTTGCTCTGATAATTTTTCCTCTATACCGGCCGTTTTCTTGTTGATTTGTTTAAATAAGCAACATAATTAACATTGGAAAGTCAACTGGACACAGGTACAGTGTGATATACAAATTTGCTTGCCCGACAGAAAAAAACACTGGACTCGGACGTCGGGCAATGGGTTATTTTTACCCCTGACAGCATGAGCATTGATCTATGCAAATGGGTTATGATGACATGTGTCAACCAAGTCAGCGAGCCTGATCACCTGATCCCGTTAGTCGCCTCTTACACAAGCATGGGTTGCTGAGGATCAATTCTAATCCAGATCTTCACATTTGACCACACAGAATTTTACCAGAGTGGGGACATGGACTTGTGGCAAAAGATGCAGACTGATCATGTGGAACAAAGAAAACACACAAGATGTATTTTGTAATATTTTATTTAATCTTCAACATAGCACTTTGGCATCCCACTCAAGTGTTTTGTTAACATCTCCCGAATATTGAACATAAGAAAGGCCTTCATCCGAAAGAGTCAGTTCCAAAAGCTTCCAGTATATCTACTCTTCGTCTCAGTTGGAAGTGTCTATGCACACACACTATGTACAAAGAAATCAGTATGTGACCCACGAAACAGCTGTCTTGCTTGAACCACGTCTGGAATAACAAACTGATACATCAGGTATCGACAGAATAATTTTTCAAACCAAACTTAAGACAAACCAGAAAACAAAAGATAAAGCATCAGTCTCAGTTTAGCATAATCAATATATAATAACACCTGCATTGCTTTAACTGATGTGATTTGTTTCCTTCTGTCACAATAGATGTAAACAGGTTGAAGTTAACAAATATGTTTGAGATGTCAGCATACAAGATTCCTGATGATGAATGGAGGTTGACACAAAGCATACACTACACCTCCATCAGAGTGTTACGACAGTATATTTATATGATGATATCCGTGTCACCAAGGTCTTCATCTGAAGGTAGAGAGGCAATCACACTTTCTTTTTCAATGAGTTCTGGGTCTATCAAAGGAAGACCTTCCTTTTCTCGTCGTTCTAGCTCAAGGAAAGCTTCTCTTGTAGACCAACTCAGGTACCTGGAAACAAGGAATTACAAATTTATGCATAATTCATTTAAAAACTGAGATCAGAGAGCATCAGACAGGCTAAATTTATCTCATTTTATAGTACAGTGCAGAAAGAAGTAAGGTTCAATATCATGTTCAAGATTGTTGTACAGTCGAGCACCGTTGTCTCGATATTCATGGGACCAAGAAAAAATATCGAGTTATCCGAACTTCGAGACATCCGACCAGGGTATATCATCACATATCACTATGAAAGAAAACAAAACGCATCTCAGTATGTTTTTGATTCGAAACTATAATCCGTTATCAGTTGTGTTTAGTCGTAACAGTTAGTACTTCCTAATTAAATCCTTCTTAATTAATCCTAATTAAAAAACAAACAAGTGACACCTTCAAATCAATTAGTCCTAATTAGTTTACACTACCGCACCCCTTTGATTCATGCCGCACCGTGTGTAAACATGTGGAAACAACCTCAGTTTAGAGGGATACTTGCCCATGAAAGGTAGGTGAATATCGAGTTTCTTTGCAAATATCGAGTTAAAGGGTAAGTTTGCTTGTTGGGACCATGAAAATATATCGAGATATCCAAAATATCGAGACCTCCGTATCCAGTTAAAAGAGATTGAATAATGATAAATTATGAAGGATTTTGCCGGGACCAAAATGCTATATCGAGTTATCAGAGTTTGACACAACAGTGCTCGACTGTACTTGCATTGTGTGTGAGCTTGTTTGGTCTTCTGTGTCAGTCCACTGAGATAGTGTCAGCCAATCCAACCCATCAATCCTGACCACCAGCAATAGTGTTTGCAATACTTTAATTTGCCAGTTGGCCATCAGGGCCTGCTGTCACCTGCAGGCTTTAAAATCTACAGGCCCTGAATGAAATCTGCATGCCCCTTTTGTTAAACTAATAAAAACAAAATAGACTACACTGTACACAGTTTCACACTGTTTCTACAAAATCAATTAGCGAAGCCTATGGCGCAAAGAAGTTTTTACTTGTTAAAGACTGGTGTTGACATTCCTTAGCGCAAAGCGCTGAAATACCAGGAAGTGAACCTGTAAGTTATTGTAACAAGGTGGATTCCCGAACATAAGTAAAGAAAAGAATTATGGGAAAGATTCTAGTTGAAAAAAATGACAGATAATTTACTGAAGGCCACAAGGGCCTGCAAATATTTGAAACTGCCGGCCCGATACAATAACAACTGGCGCTGGGCCTCCGGGCCGGCGATTACTGACCACCAGGCAGGGTAACAACAAGTACCATCTTTAAAGTCCTTTTGTATGACATGGTCAGGGATGAAACCACTGACCAGACAACCATAAATGCTGCATTTGAAGAAACTCAATGTGCTGAATTACAGGGATTTTGTTCAATTCAAACTCAGGTCTACAGAGAGCATATCACTGAAACAGAATGCCCAACATTTACCACTCAATAACTTATTATTTATCATACTAACTGAAAATAGCTCCTAGAAATTTCCCTACCAAACCAGATGGTTTCAGAACACAATGTGAGTGAATGTAGCACCAGAAATGGGTTTGAACCCACACTCTCATGTGATCTAGACAACCAGTTGTCCGACTTCTATTTCTGTGAAGTTGTGGTGGCTAAGTGGGTTAGATGGCTAACTCTGTTGGTGATTAGTTGCCTTACTTTATGGCACCGTGTATTCATAGCTTTCAGCTGTGACAGCTGTGCCAATTGAAACTTGTCAGAGGGGTACACAAGTGAGTTAGTTTAGGCTTACGCCGCTTTTAGCAATATTCCAGCAATATCATGGCAGGGGACACCAGAAATGGGCTTCACACATTGTACCCATGTGGGGAATCGAACCCGGGTCTTTGGTGCGATGAGCGGACGCTTTAACCACTAGGCTACTGGGTACACAAAGAACATGATCTAAACTACCAGATGTCCAACTAGTACTTTTGTGGAAGCTGCAGTGGTTGAGTGAGTTAGATGGCTGGCATTGCAGGAAAAGGCATAGTGAAAGTGGCAAACCTACTTAACTACACATCCCCTTCATGACAACTTTCAAGTTACACAAAGCCATACCACATTACGGACAGAGGCATTAATACTTGACATGTTTAGCATCAATGATTAAAAATACTTAAAGGTCACATGCAACGTAAAACACAACTTTGCAGATTCTGATACCTTTCGGTATGGACTTACCGAAACAAATGATCAAAAATGCAAATTCAACTTATAGAGTTGAAAAATAACGTGATGAAAAAAAACGTGCGAAATCGGAGTTCAAACGATTCACTAATTTTCCCCCAACTTTTCGGGGGAAAACTGGTTCCAACAGCTGGGCTGCGCTCATAGCACGTGGCAGTGAAATAGGTTTGCGCAACTTGGAAGCGGGCTGTCCGGTGAATACTCGGTGAAGGCTTTGGTGTGAGCTATTTTCCTAATGTTTTGTTGATATCTCACAGGCGCGAGCTTTTTATATGCTATGACAGTAAATAAACTGTTTATATAATTTCATTTGTCTATTTCACCACACGTTCTTCTTACCGAGTCACTTTTTCAGTTCGATACTTAGAAGCAATGTCAGTATTTAGCGTTGACAGAATTTCTAACTGTGATATAGATATGTCGTTGTCACAGACAAAACTCTATGTCTTGTTTTATTGACACCTATGTGTCTGCCTGCCTGTCTGCTAATGACAATATTCAATACACAACTGCGATCACTGACCACATGCAATTTGAACTTAACACCAATCAGGCTATACACCATAAACAAAACGCATTGATTTATGGCCCGAGTTCGGTCTCTGTCACATTATGTAATTACACAGACAGGCAGGTGTGATACTTGAACACATGACATGTTATGATGTCTGTTGATTGCAAAATGTTATACACAAAAAATGAGCATGTATTTACAAAACCCAACATCTCTATATATACACACACAATGAGCCGTGAGGGTAACTGCAAATGAACCAGCCGTTACACTTGAGTGCACACCCACCCGCTCTGACTGGGTTCGGTATGCCGGCTGCTTCGTTTCTTGGGACGTAAACCCAAGTACACAATATTGCACTTTTGATTTGCGATTGTACGCTTATAATTTTGTTTATATGTTTTTTCATAACCAGCAATGTATACTATATGTCATGAATAAGTGATAATTATGTTTTAATTATGTTTGATTTTTTGGTTGCATGTGACCTTTAAGGATGTTTTCCTGATATAATACATGAGATTGCCAAGCACAGCATTGTTTTAAAACACAAAACCTTAAAGAAGCCCAGTTTACACTGGGTTCCTCCTCCATCATGATAATTATCAAAAGTGATGTGAAGTTACCATGGTAACATCTTATACATACCTATAGTCAGGCTGGTATGCAAGGATGAAGCATGATAATTATCAAAAGTGATGTGAAGTTACCATGGTAACATCTTATACATACCTATAGTCAGGCTGGTATTACCATGGTAACATCTTATACATACCTATAGTCAGGCTGGTATGCAAGGATGAAGCCTCCCCAACAAATGCATAATGTTATTGTCATAAACATGGTGATTCTGTGGACAAACCAGTCCAGCTCAGGGTCTGTTGGCTCATAACCATGGCTGATCCAGTTCTGTAAATGCAAAGAGAAACACATTTGTAATGAAAATAAAATGATGACATGAAGGACAATTACTAAAACATTCTCCCTTTATAGCAGAAATATTGTTACTCAAAGTACTTACTGTACTATTCTGAAAGAAAACTACTAAACACTGTATGCAATTTGCCATGTTTTACATTAAAGGGGATACAAGGTTATTTTTCTCCAACGAGACCCAACCCAAACACACAAGTTCAGTAGGTTATTTTTATGGTGAATTCGTGACTTTAGTTTTACACACTTTTAGCAATATTCCAGCAATATGGCCACCAGAAATGAGCTTCACAAATTGTGCCAATGAAAGGAATTGAACATGGGTCTTCGGCACAATGAGCAAATGCCTTAACCACTAGGCTACCCCATATTTTTATACACACTCTTCACTATGACCTAATATTTATATGAATGTCTGTACTTTCTTGTGGATATTACAGACTGTTTAGTTCAGGGTCCCTGTTATCTTAATCATGGAAAATCAGTCAGCTAGTAGTCTAGATCACCTATGTTGCATAACCCAATACACTTGCTAGTATCTACTAGAAATACAAAAATATTTTAAATAGAAATTTCTTTCAAAGATTTAACAATTTAAGTGAAGATATCTTTCTGAATTTCTGCATACTAGATATGTTAATGCAGTTATTTATCAATACTGCACAAAATGCTAAGGTGCACAGACTATGGTGCTTGCAGTGTAGATACGACTATGTGTTCATGATGTCAAAAGTTTCTACTCAGTTCTGATGGTGATCTTGCACTTATTTCACAAACTCGATTGAAGGAATATTGTGGACATTTTCATTATCTCTTGCCTCCAGGCTATTAGACTGAACCTCATGGAGTTTTCATGGAATAAATATGCATACAAAATTCATTATTCCATGATACTATTCTAACAATGGGCTTGACAATCTTTGACCTTCTGAGTGGCATTTAGAAGTTGGTATGATGAACAGGAGCAATTTTTTTTATGGACAGACAACTTCTTTATTGCAATTGATGCCAATGAATAAAATGTCACATCCATTTAAAAAAAAGTTGTCTATCCATTAAAAATTTGTTCCTGTTATTCACTGACCTGTCTGTTATGAGGACACATGACATGCCATCAATAGCACATGTCTATGATATAGGATAGTTAAACTCTTGAATAGGAGCTATAGGTGAGTGAGTATGATTTTAGCAGTATTCCAGCAAAATCATGACAGGGAACACCACTGACAGTTTCACACATTGTACCCATGTGGTACCCATGAAGATCCAGGCTAGAATTGGTCTTCCGGCAACCCCTGTTTGTCATAAGAGGCGACTAACTTAAGAGAGAGTGAGTGAGTGCGTTGGGTTTTACGGTGCGTTTAGCAATATTCCAGCAATATCATGGCGGGGGATACCATAAATGGGCTTCACACATTGTGCCCATGTGGGGATTTGAACCCGGGTCGTCGGCATGCCAAGCCAACGCTTTAACCATTAGGATACCCCACCGCCCCGAGGTGACTAAGAGAATTGGGTAGTAAGGCTTGCTGAGTTGGTTGACACGTCATTATATCCCAATTGCTTAGATTGATGTTCATGATATCTAGTCCAGACTCGATTACTTACAGACCAATGCCATATAGCTGGAACATAGCTTAGTGTAACAACAAATAAATAAAACAAAATGTACCATGTTGAGAATCAGAGGTATTCACTTTGACAGGTGATTGCTTCTACAACTAGGCTACCCCATCGCCCTAGAGTTATGGGTACTGATAATGAACATAATCATCTGTTTTATACAAACCAAGTTTAATCATGATCTAACTGATAGATACTGCACTTTACCGGGCGCACTTTTTCAGTTTAATTAGCGCTGCTGGGGTTCCCTAACCCTAACCCCTAACCCTAAGGATCGTAAAGGGTGCCTAACCCTAAACCCTAAGGATCGTAAAGGGTGCCATACCCTAACCCTAAGGATCGTAAAGGGGAGCAGCGAGGGCTGCGCCCGGTAAAGTGCATTCTAGCCAAAATAACAACCAGTCTAGATTACAGATGCTTGGACCGTGATAATGTTTCACGTTCGCACTGTTGGTGTTGACATCAAGTAAATGCACCCACCTTTTCTGAGGCTGGATTGGTATCAGCAAAATGTTTTTCTAATCTTTTTAGTTCTTCGGATTTTTCCATTGGTTCGACTGTGGTTGAAATGTCTTTGTTTTTCTTTGACGTTGAAATCAAACATGCTGATTGTTGCAGCTTTGGGTGACGAAGACGAACAAAACTAAGTGTTCGACCTTGCCGGGCAAGTGCCCTCATGAAAGTCGCCATGTTTGTTGTAGGGAAGTCTCGAGAACTAACGTTTATGGCGTTCAGGTTAGAAACATAAAACCTAAGCAAAAATATAGCCGTTTGTTAATTTTATCTCTTTCTATGTGCAGTGATATACATCCAGATGTCATACAGATAATATTGGCATAATTCTACACGACTCCCATCAGTCCCTAGAATCAAAATGGCGGCAAATTGAAGCAGACAACTCGGGACTGTCATGAATATTGATTTAGAAATGCTCAATTTCAGGAAAATTATTCAGCGTATGTATGTGACAATACTTTTATTCGATACTATACGATATACCGCAAACCAAGAACGGAGTGATCAAATCTCTTGATGAACTGTTCCGTTGTCACATCGAAACATAATAAAGAATGTGCGATTTTCTAACTTGTTTTGTGGCGACAGTGTGCCACTGCCATTATTTGCATTCAGCCAATTTCAGGGGATATTCAATGATGACATACAAATTCAAGTTTTAATATTGTTACATTATTGATAGACCTGGAACTTCAAGTAAGGCATGATCTTCATAAATATTTTGAAAATAACAGAGAAATAGAAGTTGAATTAGAAATAGTGACAGGTCATTTGAGCTTGTGGAGTGTCAAAAAATGTCAGATCGTTTTTGATCAGTGTGTTTATAATATTGCTCGATCAATATTTAGTCACACATAGATGATAGACATTGGAAATGAATTATAATGGGCCACAGAATGAGTAATGTTTGAGCTGCACTCAGGTCACGAAGTTACCATAAGAGTCCATGAAAATTATCATCAAATACAGTACAAAATAAGGAATAATATCAAATCAACAAATGAAAACTGAAGGTTAGTTTAATTAAATCAGTAGGCAATCGTACAAGAAGCATTGCTTTGCAATACCCCGCTTAGACGTATGTAGATTGTAGCCTTTGGCCCTCCCATATAATTGATGGATGATCAGCTGATGACTGCCAAAGTTTATTGTACTTATTAAGTTTATTATTAGATGTCATGCCATAATCTGCGGTGGCTGACTTCGTGTGCTGGCGATTAGGTGCCTGACTCATGGAGTGTAGGTTCGAATGGGACTCAACCCAACAAAAGTACAAGAATCTGTACTTTACACAGAAAGTGTAATCCCAAGTACAACATGTTACATTTGACCACTTTCTAAAAGGCATTGTGTATTCACATAATCATGGTAACATTTAAAAAATTCTGTTTGTATTTCAGATGCAACAAGACAGCCTTCATTAATCCTATATGTGGTTGAATCCTGAGATTGTTAATGGCTATTAATCCCCTGTTTTCAAATTACAAACATCTATATTCGAGTCTGAGCTGTCAAACTGTCAACATGTCACGAGATTCTGAAAAGCCACCAGAGAAGAGACGAAGAACAGATGATGAAACTGAGGGAAAGTTTGATGAAATGTGGGATGATGAAATGGTATTCAGCCAAGCTGACATACAAAGCATCGATGTCATGGCCTCCCAAGCATACACATCTAAAACAAAGGAAGAACATCCAAACTCAAACGGAGGAACTCAGCCTTATCTGCTTGGCAGAAGGAAGCCTACACACCCTGTTAGTGCAGATTTCCAACAACCCGTTCCCCACCCATCTGTATCTCAAACCTCAAGGAAGTCTTCTTCATCATTGTCATTATCGAGAGGGTCATCTTCAACTGCATCAACAGCATATCCATCCTCTGCATCAAGCAATCGCAGTACTGATGGTGGAAATGTGTCAAGCCACAGCAGTATGGACTCTGGGAGAGGAGACTCCAGGCTACAACAGCAGTCCACAGAGGTAGGCATGTACTCATATATAAGTTGCAGGTTAGTTGTAGTTTGTATTTTCAATATATCATAAAGTTGACTCATCCCTGTCATTGCATAATTCTGTGATGGACTTGGGGGCATAGATATAAAGGAAGTCCAGTAATGCAATATTTGCTCTTCCACAATACTTCAGAAATCATTTGATAATACACAGAGGCTAAACATTTATATAATCCATGGATCAATTTTCGCTATAGCTAGGCAGTACCAGTTCAGGAAAAAATATTGCTAGGGCAGGTAACTTATATTGTCAGGTTGCACCCCGTGCAGGTAACATTTTCTACCACAAGTGCATGGTATCAAATGGTGTTGGTATAAATTTCTCATATTAAACAATTCTTCTCCAGTTGTGTGTATCAGGTGCATTATTTAAATTAAAAAAATGAAAACAAGTCTTGTTTTCATGCTCATCATTCAATTACATAGGCCATGCATAATGTACACAATCTTCAAACACTATTGATAAAGCAATGTATTTTTGTTGATGGTGGTAAAGATTACATATGTGACGAGATAAAGAAGGCATGATTACTCTCCCAGTTTTTTATGTCCAAATGTTTCAGAAATCCGACGTTAAAGACACCTTGTATGCCAAAGATGGTGAGATCAAGATCCTGAGAGAATCACTGAAAAGGAGAGAGGCAGAGTTGGTTAAGACCCGAGAAGATCATGTTCATCTCATTGACCAAATGGCTACACAGAAAGCTTCATTGAAAGAAACCTTCAGAACCGATACAGATAGATTACAGACCCAGCTGCAGTTCCGGGATCAGGAATTTAAAGAACTTGAGGAGAAATGTAGACTTATGGAGCATAGGCTCCAGTCTTTTCAATCAGGCTCCCCAATTAAACATTCAAGCCCCAAATCTCGGAGTCCTGTCAGTCGGAAAGTGAGGCCAGACGTTTCACCAAACTCTAAATCTTCCTTCCCTTCAAGACAGAGCTTTATGTCTGATAAGAGGGAGTCAAGTGAACCAAAACCATCAACAAGTGCTGCACAACAGGAACCTGTTTCTCAGCATGTGCTGAGTAAAGGTAACAGATTGTGTCAATGGGGTCGTGGACTTTCATTAGTTTGTTAGGGGGGGTCGGTGGGGTAGCCTAGTGGTTAAGGGGTTCGCTCATCAGGCCGAAGATCCAGGTTCGATTACCCACAGGGGTACAGTGTGTGAAGCCAACTTCTGGTGTCCCCTGCCGCGATATTGCTGGAATATTGATAAAAGCAACGTAAAACTAAACTCACTCACTCGTTCACTCATTTCCTAGCACTTTAGAGAGAAGCTGTCATGCTTTGTCAACCTCAGACTATATATCATCAGTGTTTGCCATGACGCAGAAAACCTGCATATTTGACGCACAAATTATCTCAAATATGCAGTGAATGCTACTGGGCCCTTCGTTCAGATAATCTAAACTTCTAAAACTAAAATTTTACCAGTTAATTGCTCAGTGCTGATTTAATACCTGACCTGCCTTGACCTGACCTTGTTTTTTGTCGTTATTAAACAATTACAGTTAATGTCTTGTCTTGATGAAAGTTCCAAACTAAAGTTGACTCCCAAAAACATGTCCATGACTCCCTCTCATGACACCAGGGAGTCATGATGACTCTTAAATTTTGATGCCTTGGGCAAACACTGTATCATCAGTTTTAGCTGACAGGAATGACGAAAGAAATATGTTTGAGAGAGAGCTTTGATGCTGAGTTATGCCTTCTTATTGCAGGAAAGACCCAGCCAATCAACGTAAGGCCAGGGAAACCGAGGAGTAGAAGGCATGTCCTCAATACAAGTATGACCAGAGGTAACACTCGGGTTGAAATCCCTTGAATTTCAGTGCTGATTTGAATAGCTTATTTATGAAAAAGATTACAGTGTCTGAACAGCACACTCTGAAATCATATTGTCTAATAACACCATGTGATAATGTTTATCACCAATAAACATGATAACCAAGGCAAACACATGGAAATTTGTGTCACAATGTGAACATTCTTAACAGCATAATTCACAAAGAAGTTTGTGTATCATGAATTGAGAAAAGATATTTTGTTTTATTCATCTCAGTAAAAAGGAGGCTGAAGGCTTTCTATGTTATCACTGTGCAGAATCTATCCCCATAATTATAGTGTTTCCTGTTGATTTCCACAGGGGAGGTAACTGGTCCCTGTCTGGTATACCACATGTTTGAGCATCATCCGTCCGTCCCGCAGGATCCTGGCGACCACGGGGTGATCGGGTTGCTGCATACACCTGCCACCCAACTCGACCTACACAACATACAGTTCGACAGAGATTCAACGTCAAATATCCTGTCACCAGTTAGAAGCAAACGGTGAGCATTCCTCTCTTTTGGAATATCAAACTTTCTACTGGAATGCCTCAGGTTCACACAACTATGATACGTTAATATGTGTCTTTCATATAGTTGCATAATTTATGTCTGATAAAGAATGTTATGAAGCTTTTTGACAAGTTTAAAATCTGCTAGTCCATTTTGTAGTTTAAGACCTACCTCCACAAAACACATTATGAGAATATGCACTGGACTCATGAAAGACTACAAGACTATTTAGAGTCTGAGTGTGTTATTCTCTGAAGGATCTTAGCAGTATTATTAACATGACATCTCTCTTGGATGGACTGCAGTAGATGTGTTTCAAGAAAAGGTGTTAATTTGAGATTTTACTAAAGTTGCTCAAAGTTACACTAGACATGTTAGGTTGTTGATTTTCAGATTGTCATGGTCAGTTTACCCTAAATCAGTTAATGTATTAAGGCTTTTCCGGAGCTACATAAGTTTCAAACATCCATCTTGAATCAAAGTTAACAAATTGATTATAGTTTCTTAGCACAATTTTAGTCAAACATGTAGCATTTTAAATTCTTTCATTCTTCAGACACTTGTAGTGTGGGCTCAGATTATGATCTGTTTCCAAAAAAGTCTGGCCTCGAACAGAAACACATGTTTTTTGTAGTTTCAAAGTGGAGGAACCTCTTTCAATTACCTTTACTAAATGAGGACCCAAGTGTCATTATGGGATAATGAGAATGAACGTGTTCAGCTTAGGACCACACCCATGCTCTTGACTTTTACCAGCATCTACTACACAAACTGACATGCAATGAAATGACTTTATTCTGTTCAAAGAGGCATATACATGATAATACTCACACCACTCAGTTATCATTGGTTACAGATAAGATACAGTGAAAATTATTTTTCTGTTTCCCACAGGTTGTCTGACCTTCAAGTTAGTCTACAGAGTGCAGAGTGTGCCGACACGTGTAGTGTTGTACCCAGAGATCACTACCTCATGGCTGTGGAGGGGCTCCAGGATTTGCTCAAGTCCCAGCCCCAGTGCAGGGATAATACTGTCCTGAACACTGACCCACACCTCGCTCACTCACAGGAACTGTCTGGAGCTGTGTTGATTCTACCCCTTATAAATGACTACCTGTCTCATTACCTCGATATATTAAGCAACTCCCCAGTTTCAGGATCTTCATCAGGGACATTGAATTCCAGTTTGGGTCGTGGTAGTGCAAGTGAAAGCTCCCTGGAATCTGTGACAAGCTCCATTGGTTTTTTGCTGAAGGACTATCAGAATTCTGCCAATAATTTAGAGTGTTTATGTTTGACTTCCTTGCGGACATTGCACAAACTGGTGATGTTCAGCGAAGCAGTGAGGAGGTCGCTTATGGACAAGACGGACTGGAACCATAACCGATCGGATGCTAGTTTGGATGGATACCGTGCCTCAGCGGACAGTTCTGCATCAGGAGTAGGTCCTTGTTTCAGCACACCTTCTCATCTTCAGTCATTGGTCAGTCTACCATTCCATCTGTCTTTCAGACTGTTATCATGTTTGAATTGTCAGAAACAGACAGGTTTTGTCTAAAATATCAGAGTTTAGAGGTTAATGAAAAACTGATGAAAACAGTCAGTCAGTGGGTATAGTTTTACGCTGCTTTTAGCATTATTCTAGCAACACCACAGTAGAGGTGGTTCGATTAGTTGAAATAATCGAAGATTGGTTGCAATGACTAAACAACCAAGCAATCGATCATGTTGTCTCATAATCGAACACAAACAATTTTGGAACACTTGTTTGCATTAACAAAATTTTCATTTCATAAGCACTACAAGCTCTTTCCTTGTCATGATTGAATTTATCTTAAAGACCCCAGGAAATTTATGTTCCTAACATACTACAATTTGAAAAAAAAAATCCCAAAAGACCTTCATGTTTTTTTCTATATTTTTGGTGCATTAACAAACATAACCAGGAGAATTTGATGAATGACGCTAACCAATTTTTTCGATGATTGATCGTTTGTAATGAACCAATCATCAATTGTGAGATTCTAACCAATTCCCAACACTTTATCACAGTGGGGGACACCAGAAATGGGCTTCACATAGTGTACCCATGTGGGGAATCGAACCTGGGCTGTCGGCATAACGAGTGAAAGCTTAAACCACTAGACATAACGAGTGAAAGCTTAAACCATGTGGCCTGAAAATAATAGCTCCCTACATGAGTACTTTTACCTGTAGTATGACTCAATACATGAGTACTTTTACCTGTAGTATGACTCAATACATGAGTACTTTTACCTGTAGTATGACTCAATACATGAGTACTTTTACTTGTAGTATGACTCAATACATGAGTACTTTTACTTGTAGTATGATTCCATACATGAGTACTTTTACCTGTAGTATGACTCAATACATGAGTACTTTTACCTGTAGTATGACTCAATACATGAGTACTTTTACTTGTAGTATGATTCCATACATGAGTACTTTTACCTGTAGTATGATTCCATACATGAGTACTTTTACCTGTAGTATGACTCCATACATGAGTACTTTTACCTGTAGTATGACTCAATACATGAGTACTTTTACCTGTAGTATGATTCCATACATGAGTACTTTTACCTGTAGTATGACTCAATACATGAGTACTTTTACTTGTAGTATGATTCCATACATGAGTACTTTTACCTGTAGTATGATTCCATACATGAGTACTTTTACCTGTAGTATGACTCCATACATGAGTACTTTTACCTGTAGTATGACTCCATACATGAGTACTTTTACCTGTAGTATGATTCCATACATGAGTACTTTTACCTGTAGTATGACTCCATACATGAGTACTTTTACCTGTAGTATGATTCCATACATGAGTACTTTTACCTGTAGTATGATTCCATACATGAGTACTTTTACCTGTAGTATGACTCCATACATGAGTACTTTTACCTGTAGTATGACTCCATACATGAGTACTTTTACCTGTAGTATGATTCCATACATGAGTACTTTTACCTGTAGTATGACTCCATACATGAGTACTTTTACCTGTAGTATGATTCCATACATGAGTACTTTTACCTGTAGTATGATTCCATACATGAGTACTTTTACCTGTAGTATGACTCAATACATGAGTACTTTTACCTGTAGTATGACTCAATACATGAGTACTTTTACCTGTAGTATGATTCCATACATGAGTACTTTTACCTGTAGTATGATTCCATACATGAGTACTTTTACCTGTAGTATGACTCAATACATGATTACTTTTACCTGTAGTATGATTCCATACATGAGTACTTTTACCTGTAGTATGACTCAATACATGAGTACTTTTACCTGTAGTATGACTCCATACATGAGTACTTTTACCTGTAGTATGATTCCATACATGATTACTTTTACCTGTAGTATGACTCCATACATGATTACTTTTACCTGTAGTATGACTCAATACATGATTACTTTTACCTGTAGTATGACTCCATACATGAGTACTTTTACCTGTAGTATGACTCCATACATGATTACTTTTACCTGTAGTATGATTCCATACATGAGTACTTTTACCTGTAGTATGACTCCATACATGAGTACTTTTACCTGTAGTATGATTCCATACATGATTACTTTTACCTGTAGTATGACTCAATACATGAGTACTTTTACCTGTAGTATGACTCCATACATGAGTACTTTTACCTGTAGTATGATTCCATACATGAGTACTTTTACCTGTAGTATGACTCCATACATGAGTACTTTTACCTGTAGTATGACTCCATACATGAGTACTTTTACCTGTAGTATGATTCCATACATGAGTACTTTTACCTGTAGTATGATTCCATACATGAGTACTTTTACCTGTAGTATGACTCAATACATGATTACTTTTACTTGTAATAGTTGTACAACCTGAGACTTGGGGATTGCAATGTTTTTGGTCTGGAAGTACATGGTGGTATATTGAGACTAAGCTTTGGGGAGCATGCAAACCTCTCTAGTTCATGTTCTAGCATGTTTAATATCCTAGTTCATCTGTTGCAGGAAACTGCAATGGACACAGACGTCCCAGTTACATCGTCTTCTGATAATGACACAATGTCCTTGGACTCTCGAGTGACGTTCAGACAGTTACAAGAGCTCAACCTCCTCAATAAGATTGTGAAGCTTGCACACCCACAGGGAGAGGTCAGTTTCACAAGCAGCGCCTGGGAAATCTCATGGGGCTTTATTAACAATCATATGTTTAATATTAAGTTATTGACATGTTGTTCCAGCCAGCCATATCAGTCATATTAGTAATATCTTGTTAGTCCAGTATTTACAATTCATGTTTATTTTGTACTTTTAATAATTATGTGTAGACCTTTCTATCGCAATAGTTTCTTTCAAATTACATGTAGTTAAGGTGTAGGACATACTTTAATGATGAACAAGTTAAACACTTTTCAATCTAAACAAACATACACATCATCGTGTATACATTCCACTATTTTTAGTTTCCAATTTAAAATTTTAAGGAAAGTATTGTGTTCCTCAAAATAAAAAGGTTGACATCCATAAATTCTTGACTTTATGTGTATCACTTCTAAATGCCATTCAGAGACTTTAAACTTTCAAGCATGAAGTGAAGGGTATTACTTAAATGTGTAAACCGTAAAAAGACCTTTGTGTTTTGTAACACAATATATTGAAATAACTTTTTAGTTGTGCTTGTTGCTAAACTCCAAAGCAATATTCCAGCAGTATCAAAATGGCCAGTAAGTTATCAAGAACCTGACAGCTCTGTTCATGACGATGTTGTTCATCTCCTATGTGTTTCAGCAATTTGAAAACCTCCTTGACACTCCCATGTCTTGTGTGTTTCAGTCCTACAGTGTGTGTATGGTAGAGGAAGCTCTAAACATCATCATTCTGCTAGCCAGCATCTGGAAGGATGACAATCACTTCAGGTAAACACCCAATTACATCTTTACTTCAAGTTTGAGTTTATTACATGACATAAGGAACAAGGCTGCTCAGTGGTTCTCAGCTGTATCCTAATAATTTGATCGTGGGCTTGATTCACTAAGATTTATTTGACACCAAGAAGTATTTGAGTGCCAATGGCACTTATAAAACTTCTAAATAAGATCTTGGTACCTGACACAAGCCCGAGGGGCACCTGTAGAAATCTAATTATCAACAACAATAACTTGTCACGATATTTATCCCATGAAACCAAATACAACATCTGACAAACATGTGGAAATTATGAATATGTGAACTTGCTTAATGTAAAACTATGTAATATTCAGAAAAGAGGAAGGGTATTACCAGTTTTACAAAAAAAGAAGGAGACATATTTTCTTAACCAGTGCTGCATATTTTGTCATTTAACAATATTTCCAAGATGGATCTAAAGCATTCTTCCATTTGGCATACTTCCATTCCAAAGTACTTGCTTGAACATCTTTTTGATTGTCCTCTGACAACACCCAGTCCAAAAGGTGTACTATAATTAGTATTTGTGTGTTCTGTGTGGAATTGCTTTGGCTTAGACGGAAATTTCTAAATGAAGGTGGTGATGGAATCAGTGAGTTAGTGAGTACGGTTTTAAGCCGCATGGGGGGAATGGAACCTGGGTCTTCAGCATGATGAGCTTTAACAGTTTAACGACTAGGCTACCCACCTCCCCCTGGTAATGGAATGAAGCCCCATTGTTTGAGATAGCTGACAGGTGATAGGTTCAAGAACTCACACACCCTTCGTTTAGACTGGTAGCTGAACTGGCTGGCTTCATTTAAAAAACCTGCCTTTAGAGGAGTCATCAAGTATTCAAGCAGAGAAGTATTGTCAGAGTAAGATATTAATAAGATTGTGATGCTAATTACATTTGTATATTGTTTCATTGTTTTAGGTTACATACTGCCTTGTCAAGAGGTGCCATCTTGTGTTGTCTGGAGTGCAAGGTCGGCATGACCCAGTGGGGAATCATCACACGAGCAGTCACAATCCTCGGGCATCTGACACGCACACAGAAAGTTATACAGGTTCTCTGCACAAAGTCCGGTAAATGTTTAATATGTCATGCTGACCCATAGAAGGGATGCTACAGTGAAAACATTTCAACACTTGAAAGATTTATAGATGACTATGTATACTTGCCATTTAGAAAGTGGTCAGATGTAACATATGTTATATTTGGGATTACACATTCAGCGGTGGCTGAGTGGGTTAGCAACTTACTTTGTGTGCTGGTGCCTAGGTGCCTGACTCTGAGGGTGTGGGTTCGAATCCCGGATGGGACTCAACCCAAAAGTACTAGAATTTGTACTTTACTAAGAAAGTGTAATCCCAAATAAAACATATGTTACACTTGGTGTACACAAAATAATTCTACTGTCACTATATCCACGGACAAATATGAGATTTCAGTGCCTTGTTAGGGACTATTTGTTACAGGTGTCAGCTAATGTTATAAGGGTTCATACAAGTTCAGGTGTTTCTCACGTGAGCAAATGTTGTACATATGAATTAGGGGTATGTTTATTCTTATCTCTATTTGGGTTAGTCATGATATTGCTGAAATACTGCCGATGTGACTATAAATTTTAACTCACTAACTCTATTTGGGCAAATAAACATTTGAGGGTACTGTGCATTCCTGACCCAGTTTAAAGGTTCTTGCTGGCAATGGATGCTTCTTTCATCAGTCCATTACAAATAGGATTATTGAATCCTTGCATTAGAACAAAGATCAAGGAGATGGAGGATATATTTTACCTCATGTGTTTTGACATAATTGCTGATAACTGTGTTTGAGGCAGACTTCCCTGTTCACATAGGAACTGTTAGTGATTGGATGTTGTGACTGATTGTTCATTTTGAGGACTGAATCATGTCATTGCAAGAGACACATGAAAACAGACAAATGGCACACATATTAGGTCAACATGACCTACTTTTCATGTAAATGGAAAATTCTTATATATAGATTCAAAAATAGGTTAGGTTTTCTTCAAACTGGAAGCAGGTGATTCATGGTTTAAATCACTATTGATATTTTGATTATTTTGAGCTTGAATCAATTTGCACATGCTGATGGCCTTCACCTTTCATGTTCAGAGGCATGTCCCCTCCTGCATCTGTACCTGGTGAGCCTGAAGCTGAGTGACGACACAGCCTGGGACACGCAGGAGGTCATCTATCAACAGGTCAGCTCCCCGTGTGATTGACTTCTGGATATCAGGGATCATAGTGTCAGGAACTGGAATATTAAGGATATTTTGTTATGCTTAATATTTGATGCTTAACTAGGGAATGCCTGGTGCTGCTTTTGACTTATCAATCTTGGCCCTGTTTCTTGAAGTGATCCCATGACTGTTGTAAGTCTCTTAAAGTAGCATCATGCCAAAGGCCGGGGTTCGATTACCCACATGGGTACAATGTGTGAAGCCCATTTCTGCTTTCCTCGCCATGATATTCTGGAATATTGCTAAAAGTGGCGTAGAACCAAAACTCACTCACTCATTCTTAAAGTATGAGGACACAGGTATGTAAAGAAATTGTCACACTATGGTTCTGAGTCCGAACTGAACCTGTTTGCCAATGCGGTAGTAGCACCATGCTGATCGTAACACTCATACTTTAACATAAACGTTACATAGAGCTACAGTTGCTTTATGGACAGGTACCTATTACGGTACTGAATAGTCAGTGAATTACAGAATAAAAAAAGGATGCATTTTCGATCCAACACTGCAGTTGACAGGACAAATATGTGTTGCTCTACTTCCAGACAGTGACGTGCTTGACTAACATAGCCTCTGATCCCGCTGACGCCAGTACCATCCTGGGCAACCACTGCCCCTGCACTACAGAGGTGAGTCAATGTTTTCTTTACAATCTTCTCTGCACAGTGAGGGGGCCACAATAGGCATACTTATTTGATACGTATTGCAGGACTCAGGTGATGATACATATAACAATGATTAATTGTTTGTACATGCATTTCTCATGGCAACATTGCTGACCTATAGCACAAAACAATCTTAGGGCTACAGCTACTGTATGTAAAGTAGAGCTGTTTCAGTAGTCTGACTAACAGGATCGGGTGGTCAGGCTTGCTGACTTGGTTGATACATGTCATTGTATCCCAACTGCGTTGTTTGATGCTCATATTGTTGATCACTGGATTATCTGGACCAGACTCTATTAGTAAGGTACAATCAGACCCTTCTGTTCGCAGGATGATCATTGCAGATATACATTGCATTTGCAGGATGATCATTGCACATATTCAGTGTGTTTACATAATGTTCAGATACACGCTGTATTTTCAGGCTGGCCGATGTCTGGTGGTGTGTATGTTGCGTCTGTACCAGCACTACAAGGGGCAGCACCCAGCACACACCCTTCAGAGCCTGCGTGATGGACTCCTACTGCTCCAACTCTTGCAGCAACGGCAGGAACAGTACCTGACGGACCGTGACTACGAGCTGCAGCATGACTACGTCACTCTTATATGTGGACTCACGTCTCTCTTCAGGCAGTTGCCTGGCAACCAGGAGACTGAGCGTAAGTTGAAGATCCATGTCATATAATCTGATACAGTGACAGACAGTTTTAGAATCATACATAAAATAATATCTAAAGGTGACACCACACCTTTAGTTCATGCACAATTTCATTCTCAGACCTCAGGGGTAATATTCAGCCCCAAGTCTGTACCAGATGACTGAATAACTTGAATTTGAAAAACATTTTAGAATTTGTTAAGGATGAACATTAAAACAAATGAAATTTTGAACAATATCATTGTTTGCCCGCCAAACTCATTTGAATGTTAGATAAATCCTTTAAATCCTAAAGACTTTTATGTATATTTTTCAACTCTGCATCAGATAGTGTTATTTCACGTCTGTTTTTTCACACATATTAAGTATTGAACAAAATGATCATTTGTTCTTTGATCTAACTATCATTTCTTGTAGAAACATAATTATGGAAGAGTGTTGTTATTGGAGGGATATGAAGTGGAATTAACATCATATCGAAGATTATTACACTTATATAGTGACGTGCTTCCATGTGTTTGTGGCTGCATCTGTAGTCTCGTCTACTGTTGGTTGTATAGTGCTAGCCGACCCAGAGACAAGCTACAAGTCTATACAGATACCCCACATCATACTGACTGAACCATACATACCTTGTAATATCCCCTTAATGCTGAGCGCTAGGGAAGGTACAACAATAAGTACCCTCTTGTACCATGTTTCAAGATTGATTTCAATCGATTGGAAGTTTTTATCTGTTAATGTGTTTTGTTTCAGTGAATGCACTGACAGACCTCTGGGACTTTAATCAAGATGATTCTGAACTGTCACCAGACAGCGATCAGGAAGATTCTATGGAATCCTGAGGTCTGGTTGCGATGGTATTTTGGACTTCAATCAGGATGATACTGAACTGTCACCCAGTAGCAATAAAAAACAATTCTACGGACTCCTGAGGTCTGGTTGCAATGGTATTTGACAGCTGCATATACTGTCAGAAGATACACATATACATATACCACGTAGCTGGTAATTGTGGAGAGAATTTGAATGTGCATTCATATAGCATCATTTGTTCCCAACGTGAAGAGTCTTCAATTGACAAAATGAAACTTTATGGCAAAACGGCATTGATCATGTAAAACTGATCAGAGTGCTTGCTTAGCATTGCTTCAGAATTGTTTAATGGTGTAAAAACTTACATTTAATAAAGTTAGATCTACTTTTATGTTATTGATTGCTAGACAATAGTGGTCTCAGGGAATACTTGATATTTATCTTTCTTGAAGTTTCTGGATAATTCTATTACTTTGATTGCCTATGATGCAAGTAGAAGTTCATCAAAGTCAATGGGGGGCGGTGGGGTAGCCTAGTGGTTAAAGCGTTGGCTTGTCACGCCGAAGACCCGGGTTCGATTCCCCACATGGGCACAATGTGTGAAGCCTATTTCTGGTGTCCCCCGCCGTGATATTGCTGGAATATTGCTAAAAGCGGCATGAAACTAAACTCAGTCAGTCAGTCAAAGTCTATGGTTTGTTAGCATGATCAAATTGCTAAAAGCGGCGTAAAACCAAACTCAGTCAGTCAGTAGCATGATCAAATTAACCATTTTATGTCCATAGAAGCTTGATATATCTTGAGTCGTGGTTGGAAGAACTAGACATTTCCTGAATATGAAGTAAGTTTAATAGTCTGTATATGGAAATGTAATAATTCTGGCGAGAACTGACATACACTGTGCCATTAGGATTCCTAATCATGAAGCTGTGATAATCTTGACTCCTTTAATGACACTGCTGCTCTATTAAACCATTAAGAAATTGTTATGTACACTGCAGATTTTTAGTCAAAAGATGGGGTATAATTTTGGTAATTTATTGCTGGTGCCAACTAGGCTTTGTTGTATGCACGTGTTTGTGCAAAAAAGCTTGTCTTTGATATACAGGAGCTTGGATCATTTTGTACAGTGTAACATTGAAATGAACATGTACATTATTTAATGTATATATTATGTAGTCTCAAAAGACTACAGAAATTGTACAAAATAAAATTTCTGAAATTTATGTGTTTGGAAAAATGTTGCTTATCAGTTATGGTAACCTGTCCTGGACTGGCAGGGATTGAGTGCTTGAAGCTACACTCAGCAATATTCCAGCTACATGGCGGCGGTCTGTAAATAATCCAGTCTGGACCAGACAATCCAGTGACTGACGTCATGAGCATCGATCTGCACTACTGGTATATGATGACCTGCATCAACACAGTCAGTGAGTTTCTTGATCTGATCCAGTAAGACAACTCTTGCCACAATCATGGCTTGCTGAAGACCAATTCAAACCTCGTTGTTCAGCAGTGAACCTACAGTAAACCACATTACACCACAATTCATGCCAAATACCTGTAACACATACTGTGGGGATAACAAGAATTTTGAAACTGAAAGTATATGTATATGGTTACGTTTATATTTCCTGTGTGACAGGTTTTGTTTGTGGTTTTCCATGAATTATGTAATCAGTGTAGATGGCATATCTTTACTGCAGGATGGTAATGGTGAAGTATTTTTTGGGATGAAGCTATAAACTGCCAATACATATGGACACGTTGAAGTGTAGCCACTATGTAACAAGCAGAACTCACAAAACCGTTTTCATATTCATAAGAAATCTCAGCTCAAAGCAGAGTCTATTTGTATGATTCTGACAATGTTATTAGCATGTGTTTATGAATCATAAAATAACAGGTGCTCGTGGACTGGTGACCCATCCTTCCCAGACATAAGCACTTGTCACAACCATGTGAAAGCAAGTCAGCTGCTCACCTGAAACCAAGAGGAATGTGTGGTTGTCTGTGACGGATACTGCAGATTTGGAAATAATTATGATATACATTAAAATACACAAGGCTAAGGTGAGACCAGGGATGTTTGAACCTTGACCAAACAAATCTTGACCAAAAGTGATCAGCGGATTCAAATAAATGTATCATCCGTGATAGATTAAGTTGGACAGAATATATTACTTTCTGTTTGTTTTGTTGACATTACCCCCACCATCATGTCATCATAATTATTTCATTGTACATATATTAGGGTTATAGAAATCGTGAACCCCCCATCCTCCTTCTATCCACCTCAGTATGACCTCTTCATAGAAAGCCTTGTTCTGGTTAGTGGACCCGTGAAGGTCCGGGCTAAATTCGTCCTCAGTAACCCATGCTTGTCATAAGAGGCGACCAACGGGATCGGGTGGTCAGGCTCGCTGACCTGGTTGACACGTCATAGGTTCCCAATTGCGTAGATCGATGCTCATGCTGTTAATCACTGGATTGTCTGGTCCAGACTCGATTATTTACAGACCGCCGCCATATAGCTGGAATATTGCGGAGTGCGGCGTAAAACTAAACTCACTGACTCACTCACTCTGGTTAGTGGAGAGACTAAGTGCTCTTTCCAATAAGCAGTCAGATGATACCCCTTTCTCAGCTGCTTTGGCAATACAGCTGGGAAGGGAAGAGAGAGTCTCCAAGATCTGAAAGACCTTACCTGGCACCACAAAGTGAAAAATGTTCGTAGAATATCTAATTTTAGATGTTTCACGCCTCATGATAGGTCGCATGACCAATACAGTAGGCGTCTCTCGAGATAATATTTATTTTCCCAGAATCGAGAAAATTGTTGAGTTAGTGACTTTACTCATTTATTTAGGGGGATGGTGAATCAGCAATATTCCAGTTATTTGGCGGCGGTCGGTAACTAATCAAGTCTGGACCAGACAATCCAGTGATCAACATCATGAGCATCGATCTACGCCACTGGGATATGATGATCAACCAAACTCCCTGACTCTGACCACCCGTTAGTCGCTTCTTAGAACAAGCATGAGTTGCTGAAGATCAGTCCTATCCAGGATCTTCGTGGATCTTCTTTAATCAGGACCGTGGGTTGAATTTATATTAGGATAATCCATTACTTGCGTGGATTGGGAATACGGTTGAAATCTTCTGCTCCAATCATATTTCCATTTTTAATGTATAAAAATATCGGAATATTATGACAACTTTGTGTCAAAAGGGCAAAATGTCACTGTCCAAAATAACCACTACATACACTAAACGGTTGTTGAATTTAAACGTTTTTTTCATTCGCAGTTGCATAAATTACATGTCTTCATGATACAGATTTCATTAGTTTGAACATAAGCATACATGTACGTTTTATGATTAATAGTTTCGAACTGACAAGTAAACTGCTCATTACTTGCAATGAATAATAATTATTAGAAACAAGACAAACCCCATGCAAAGACAAATGAAGTATTCAAAGCCTAAATCACTGTTGACTGGCAGCACAGATTCTTCGGATCACAAGACTGCCCCAACTGCAAGTCTGTCATACAGACCTGAAATAGGTATATTCAATACAGCCCTTGCAAGTCTAGAATATATTTCAAGTACAGATTACTGCAGTTCTGAAAATGAAGAAAGTCTCTGTTCTTGTTATTATTAATTTAATGAGGATAATTTGAGAAATGTTTTGTTTTATTTTTGTTTAGTTGTTGTTTTGTTTTCTGATTTCTACAAAATCTGTTTGTTTAAGGGATTAAATATTAGTGTACCCCAACCCCATAATGCCAAAACTACTAGTACGTCGTAACATTGGTTATTGATGAGTTTTTGAAGTAATTGACAGTGAGGTAAACATGGTAAGCTCACTCTTTTTGTCTCCTGGAATACCTGTATTAGTGTTTCGTAATTCATATACGACTGTTTACAGAAGCAAATGTCAGATTTGATCTGAAGTGTTGTACATTTCATGCAGGCGTTCACCAGCATTGTCACGTGATGTCATGGTTACGACTTCAGCCAATCAAGTCTCACATCCGTTGCACGAGTTTTTGGTGCGCGTTAATTCCAGACGACAGAATGGAAGAATGGAAGCAGAAATGGCGTATACAATGTATTTACAAGCAGGTGAGAATTCGTTTAAAACTATGATGAACACTATTTTAGACAGTTATTATTGATGCTTCACCATTTTTCATACGACAATGTAGTTTCTTTTGTTTATAAACCGTTGGGTTCTTAGGCGCTATTTGAACAATTTGAGACTGCCCATGACCAAAGAATTATCGACATAGTTTCTTAGGTGAGATAAGCCTAAGGTGAAGTAAAATGAAATGGTATCTAACGCCAGCCACTGCACTTACATAGTGACTTGCCTGCGTGCACGGGTTGGTGTAGCCTGTAAGTGCGTGTGTGTGTGCGCGCGCGTGCGTATGTGTGTGCGGGTAACAGTTCGGCCTATTCTAATGCCGGTTTGCTAGCCCACTGAAGTACCATGCCGCAGTTTAACATTGATACCCATCTCACACAACATACCCCGAAGGAGGGGTGATACATACAAGGTAAGTGTTGGGTTATATATTGAAACAATCAGTTTGTGTCTTTATAGTGTATAATATGTCCATCAATTCTCCAACTGTAATGTTGAGGGTTACAGTTAGACCAACGCTTAGTTTCTGAAAGAAGCAAACAACTGTCTTTAATTTGAATCGACAGTCCCATTGAGGTTGGGGTTTCGATACGTGTTTCATTATAGCATTACAGTAGCCCTTTGAGCACCCACGTAGTGGTTGGATTTAGCGCTATATAAAATTCCAGTATTATTATTATTACAGTGATTCACAATTACAATACCCGTGAAGGTCCGGGTTAGAATATTGATCTTCATCAACCCATGCTTGTCGTAAGAGGCGACTAACGGGATCGAGTGGTCCGGCTCGCTCACTTGGTTGACACATGTCATCGGTTCCCAATTGCGCAGATCGATGCTCATGCTGTTAATCACTGGATTGTCTGGTCCAGACTCGATTATTTACAGACCGCCGCCATATAGCTGGAATATTGCGGAGTGCGGCGTAAAACTAAACTCACTCACTTACTCGCTCACAATTATAATACCAAAGACTAAGACAGACGAGGGTTAAAATGAATGAGTGGGTTGCTGAAGCTGCTCTCAACAGCGTTGTAACAATACAAATACAACCATACAAAATGTACTATTGTATATTTATCGTGGTGACAGTGTGGGAGCATCTTTTTCTGGGTAAACGTGTGTTCATGCCACTCTCAGTCATGCTGATGATTGAATGCCGCCTCTGAAATGCTGAGGCAATGTGTTACCTGTGATAGCGTCTGGTATTGTGGTTGGTTGTTTAACGCCGCACTCAGCAATATTCCAGCCATAAGGCGGCGGTCTGTTCTGGTATTGTGACCTGTATAGTAGTTTCACATGCACATACAAAGCAGTGTATGAATTAATTTTGAAAAGTCACTGGCTAGGAGGGCAAGTT